GGGAGACATGAGACCACATGAGTTACACTGCACAGAGCGCCTTCTGCTGGTGCACCCTGGGGAGACATGAGACCACACGAGTTACACTGCACAGAGCGCCATCTGCTGGTGCACCCTGGGGAGACATGAGACGCCACGAGTTACACTGCACAGAGCGCCATCTGCTGGTGCACCCTGGGGAGACATGAGACGCCACGAGTTACACTGCACAGAGCGCCATCTGCTGGTGCACCCTGGGGAGACATGAGACCACACGAGTTACACTGCACAGAGCGCCATCTGCTGGTGCACCCTGGGGAGACATGAGACCACACGAGTTACACTGCACAGAGCGCCATCTGCTGGTGCACCCTGGGGAGACATGAGACCACATGAGTTACACTGCACAGAGCGCCATCTGCTGGTGCACCCTGGGGAGACATGAGACCACACCGAGTTACACTGCACAGAGCGCCATCTGCTGGTGCACCCTGGGGAGACATGAGACCACATGAGTTACACTGCACAGAGCGCCTTCTGCTGGTGCACCCTGGGGAGACATGAGACCACACGAGTTACACTGCACAGAGCGCCATCTGCTGGTGCACCCTGGGGAGACATGAGACGCCACGAGTTACACTGCACAGAGCGCCATCTGCTGGTGCACCCTGGGGAGACATGAGACGCCACGAGTTACACTGCACAGAGCGCCGTCTGCTGGTGCACCCTGGGGAGACATGAGACCACACGAGTTACACTGCACAGAGCGCCATCTGCTGGTGCACCCTGGGGAGACATGAGACCACACGAGTTACACTGCACAGTACGCCATCTGCTGGTGCACCCCGGGGAGACATGAGACCACACGAGTTACACTGCACAGAGCGCCATCTGCTGGTGCACCCTGGGGAGACATGAGACCACACGAGTTACACTGCACAGAGCGCCATCTGCTGGTGCACCCTGGGGAGACATGAGACCACACGAGTTACACTGCACAGAACGCCATCTGCTGGTGCACCCTGGGGAGACATGAGACCACACGAGTTACACTGCACAGAGCGCCATCTGCTGATGCACCCTGGGGAGACATGAGACCACACGAGTTACACTGCACAGAGCGCCATCTGCTGGTGCACCCCGGGGAGACATCAGACCACACGAGTTACACTGCACAGTGCGCCATCTGCTGGTGCACCCTGGGGAGACATTATACCACACGAGTTACACTGCACAGAGCGCCATCTGCTGGTGCACCCCGGGGAGAAATGAGACCACACGAGTTACACTGCACAGAGCGCCATCTGCTGGTGCACCCTGGGGAGACATTAGACCACACGAGTTACACTGCACAGAGCGCCATCTGCTGGTGCACCCCGGGGAGACATGAGACCACACGAGTTACACTGCACAGAGCGCCATCTGCTGGTGCACCCTGGGGAGACATGAGACCACACGAGTTACAATGCACAGAGCGCCATCTGCTGGTGCACCCTGGGGAGACATGAGACCACACGAGTTACACTGCACAGAGCGCCATCTGCTGGTGCACCCTGGGGAGACATGAGACCACACGAGTTACAATGCACAGAGCGCCATCTGCTGGTGCACCCTGGGGAGACATTAGACCACACGAGTTACACTGCACAGAGCGCCATCTGCTGGTGCACCCTGGGGAGACATTAGACCACACGAGTTACACTGCACAGAGCGCCATCTGCTGGTGCACCCTGGGGAGACATGAGACCACACGAGTTACAATGCACAGAGCGCCATCTGCTGGTGCACCCTGGGGAGACATGAGACCACACGAGTTACACTGCACAGAGCGCCATCTGCTGGTGCACCCCGGGGAGACATGAGACCACACGAGTTACACTGCACAGAGCACCATCTGCTGGTGCACCCTGGGGAGACATCAGACCACACGAGTTACACTGCACAGAGCGCCATCTGCTGGTGCACCCTGGGGAGACATGAGACCACACCGAGTTACACTGCACAGAGCGCCATCTGCTGGTGCACCCTGGGGAGACATGAGACCACATGAGTTACACTGCACAGAGCGCCATCTGCTGGTGCACCCTGGGGAGACATGAGACCACACGAGTTACACTGCACAGAGCGCCATCTGCTGGTGCACCCTGGGGAGACATGAGACCACACGAGTTACACTGCACAGAGCGCCATCCACAAAAGGAATTTCCAGAGTTGTGACTCTCACTTAATTCTTACTGAGAAGGAGAAATAAATCCTGTTAATCCTATTTATTCTATATATATATATAACCACGTGAGAAATGTATAAACATGTATCTAATTTTTCCATCTCTTGTTTTTCCTTTTATGTTGCTTGGCCTATGTTTTCTTGTAAACTGTAATGGGTTAATGTTTCAGACTTTGCATACTATGGTTAACCAAAATCATATGTGTGGCATGTTTGGTCTCTATAAACTCCAATCTTCGTCCCCCATTTATGAATTTACATTAGATTTTGCTAACTTTATGTCGCATTAGTATTATAAGAATCTTGAAGATTCTTTTCTTAAACACCCAATGAAATTACACATTCAAATGCCCTGCTAGAAGACAAAGGGTCGTAAATCTCCCTCCAAAGGGACGGCTTCGTATTGGCTCACACACCTCCAGAGAGTGTGACGTCTTCACGCTTTAAAAATCACTGATCACAAGATTAGCCTTTCTCTTAGCCTCTTGCTCTTAGCGCTCTTAGCCTCTTGCGCTCTTAGCCTCTTGCGCTCTTAGCTTCTTGCGCTCTTAGCTCTCTTGGTCCTTCCTGAGAAGTCCTAACGTGAAGATGAGGCTGAACTAGAAGTCCCTCAAGGACCCCAAGCTTTTGCCAGGCTGTGGCCTTGTCTTTCCATTCACCAAAGATCAACTGGAGCCTCAACAAATTGCATCAGGACAGTTTAATTCAAATGGGCGAGACATGCAAGTATCAAACTTAGTCTCATTATTTGATACATTAAGTATCCTTACCCTTTTCAAGTAGGGTGTGTTGGAACTGAACTGATGGTTTGCTCAGGCTGTTGATCTGCTGAACATCAAACAATGCTATAACTTCTTGCTTACCTGTATTCTGCTTCAGCTCTCTTTCCCTCGGTAAACTGTGTGCATGTATGTATGTGTATGTTAGATAGTTTAAATGTTTAGTCTAGTTAATAAAATCTTGTTCATGTCACACGTAAAGTTGTCTGTGTCTCAAGCTCATATCTGGAGTCACTAATCATAGATCTTGACTACTTGCTCTTAGTAGTACTTAGTAAGAAAGACATTTCCCATGCCCCGGAAATGTACATTTCTATTAATTAATTAACCAATATTGAGTGTTCACGGGATGAACTGAGTAATTGGTTGTAATGTTCAATTAATCATCAATTAACCCGATTAACTGATCCAAATATTCATAATCAATTATAACAAGTTATGATTTATTATTATTATTTCGTAGAGCTAATTTGCTACAGTAATGTTAACCCATAGAGCTAAGTGGTTTCTTAAGTTTGATAATTAATCTGCTATGTCATGTTAATGACATATTTATGACAGGTTGTGTTGTCTTAGTAATGTCAAGTTGTCATGACCAAGACACTGACAGGTTATGATGTATTGGTTTATGTCAAGGTGTCATAACAAAGACATCTCAAACTATGTCATATTTGCAGTAAAAATGGCATAATTGAGCGAATGACACTTAATGACAGTTGTCACAAACATGCATAAAACCTCCTTCATATTCATGACGTGTCATGTCAGTCTTATGCACACCCCTTCAAGTAAAACATTCTTACAAGACAGCATATGTCACAGACAGATTGAGTCGACTCCACTGCACGTATAAAAATTCCCTTTATTTGGAGTAATACTGATATATGTGTACAGTGAAGCAATAACAGCTCTGATGAGGTTCATGCAGTGTCCAGCAGAGGCGCTCACAACCAACACCAGTCAACCCAGTGTTTCATACAGCATCTCAACACTGGCTGAGACTGGGCGTGTGTGTGTTACTGGTACAGCAAACTCAACATACATTCAATATGCACCTGTCACAGATTCATTTGCAGACATTTCTCAAAATATCCATGTCATATATATATTTGTATGGTGTTCCCTTTACGATTATCAACAGTTTTTAATTTTTTTTTTGTTTAACAAACAACAGTTTTTTTTCAACAGTTGTACAATCTAAGAAAAATGTATAAAATAGGTCGTAATGTTCTATCCCAGCTAACAGAGCGTTCTGGCAAGGTTCTCTCAAACTTATGAACATTCTTCCAGTAACAATGAATAGATTGTCTTTTGTTCTCAAAACATAAGCACAAAAAAAATGCAACATTTTTTTTTCTGAAACATTTTAGCTGGACGTTCGTCTAACGTGTTTTAAATGTTACGTCTTGTTTCAGATCGTTCAGAGAACATTCAAAAGTAACATTTTCATAATGATTGAAGAACGATACAATGTAATGTTCCCTAAACGTTCACACAACCAAGACAAAAAACATGCAAAAAAACATTAAGAAATAATGTGCCTTAATGAGAGTGTTAGCTAAATGTTCTTAGAATATATTTTTGTTAGCGTGGATGTTATTATGAAGGAATTTTCCGTTTTTCACAGGTGTTTTACACCTATTTAGCATTACAGTACACATTGTATTGTGTTTTAAGGTTAAAATGTTAGTAAACAACTAATAATGACCTGGCAGAAAATGACCGGTATCTTTTCAGTATTTCCACAGATTTTCTTCTTACAGTGTCTAATATTCTGTGAGAGCGTGCAAGATCACACTCTAGATCCAACAACAACACACATGATGAATGAGTGGAGGGTGGAGGTTTCCTGATGTGTTCAGCACAGATCACACACACACAGCACAGGGTCAAGAGTCGATCCGCACAACCGACACTCAAAGCTTAGTCACATATTTCTTTCCATTATACTTCGTTTCCTGAAGTTTTGTAAAGAGAAAGTAACCAGTAACAGAAAGCAGTTGTAGAGGTCAGAGGTCAGGTTGATGTTCCCTTCAGTCTCTGGGCCGCCTGACCCCGACAGTACAGGTACACATACACAGGGTGGATGAAGGCCAGGAGACTCAGAACACTCAGAGCGATGTTCACCTGGAGGAATCAATGACAGTTCAGTCAGCGCTGTTCATCTGAAACAGAGCTTTCTTAAATAGCAGAAATGCTTTAAAGAGGATCTGTTATGGCCTTTTTCAGTCTCGATGGTGTTTCAGGCTCTACTAGAACAGGTTTTCCTGCTTGAATGTTGATTATTTCCCCATATTCTCCATTGTTGCGGCTCCTCTCTTCCCAGTCTGTCAGTAACGCTCTGGGTGTGTTTCCCGTACAGCGCTGTAACTCGCTGGTTCACTACTATAGTGCGATGCATCGTTGGAGAAATCCACTAGCTAGTTACGACTGTTTCCCGAAACTATACTGTCGCAAATTGGTCGTTCAACCACGTTGGTTAATGATGGCACGCATGTGGTGGAGTGACAACTACTTTAAATGAATCAGTTTTAAATCGAATTAATGCTAGATGTTTTGCTATAAATTATCTGAGGACTATTTCTCTTTTTTCTCAGTTATTTTGCTTTATCTCCAGATTTAATCATAGGCTCGTTCTTACGCACTAGAGCAAATTGCAAGTTCTCGCAACTCAGAATTGCGTGTTATAAAGTCAGAATAGCGAGAAATAAAGTCAGAGATAAAAAGTCAGACAGAATTGTGAGATTTTCCTTTTAATTCTGTGGCGGAAACAAGCTTCCATAAGATATAGATTGAACTGAATGTCAGCTTGCTTATTTTGCTCAAGATAAGGATTTATTAAGTCCACATGTCATGCAAACGAGAAACTCTGCTTCTAACCGCAGCTCGAGATCTGTCGCTCAAACACACACCTCTGCGATGCTGTTTGCGAATATTCGTTGGAACGATGGTTTCGGGAAACTCCGACTCGTTGAACTGCTGATAACGACACGCGACTATAGTTGACTAACGATGCTTTCGGGAAACGCACCCCAGATAACTTCCTGTCTCTATGAAGCCCCTCCTTCTGAAAAGTGCAATGAGCTCTGATTGGTCGGCTGGAGCAGTGTGTTGTGATTGGTCGAGAGCTTCGAGTGTGTTTGGGAAATGTCCCGCCCCTTTCCATAACCGCCAGTTTAACACACTACTAACTAACTCAACCAGGCCCCGCCCCTTTATTCTGCGTATGAATTATTATAATGAGGAATATTGTGACGTGTTCGTTCCCGGGAGAAACTCAAGACTACAATGGAGGCGTTTCAGGAGTTCAGGAACACTGACACTGATATAGAGAAGAACTGGAGCTTTCTCATGATCACACAGCAACATCACACACTGAACACAGATGAAGATGGAGAACAGCAGAATATCAGCCTTTAAATATACAGTTCTTGTGTTTTTTTCTAGACGGCTGTTTGACTGATAACATATTGTAAACAGAACAGTTTCACAATCTCAGAAAAATGACAAATATGCTGACATCTGCCAAACAAATGCTGGGAGATTTTGAAAAGATCAACAGCTGTATGTTATCTTGAAGCTGCCTCCCATCTTTCTCTTCATAAGAAATATTTGGCAGACGTGATGTGGCTAATGTTGGAAAAACAAGTTTCAAGGAAAGCTTTAAGCCACTGAAATAAAACAAACCCACTGGTGTTTTTGTGCAATAACCGCTCGCTATCAAAGCCACAGCATGATCTCCACTGGAGGGTTATAATAGCAGGCGGGAAGTGTATGTTACAATATGTTTATTGTGGACAAATTTAATGTTTTCAATAGGAATCGATGCGATCTGGAATTTCGGTGACAGATTTCACAACGGGCTCAAACTGGTCTCACAGATTCGCCGATAGAAAGATAATGGTTTTAAAGTGACTTCTGTGTTAGCTGTGCTTCAAACATCTAAACTACTGAAAACAGAGTCCTTTACCCATGAAATGTTGCAGATATGACCGTGCATGATCAGAAGAAGCGTGCGTGGACAGTGTTGAGATCTTACGTAAAGAGGGTCTCCCCCCAGTGGTCCTTTAATGAGAGCGAAGCAGGGATACTGGAGCAGCGAGAACACAGCGGAGAGAGCCATCACTGTCCCATACAGCTTCCCGAAGTGTGCCGACGGGAACCTGGAACACATGTACATGAGCAACTCTAACCTGGAACACATGTACATGAGCAACTCTAACCTGGAACACATCTACATGAGCAACTCTAACCTGGAACACATGTACATGAGCAACTCTAACCTGGAACACATGTACATGAGCAACTCTAACCTGGAACACATGTACATGAGCAACTCTAACCTGGAACACATCTACATGAGCAACTCTAACCTGGAACACATGTACATGAGCAACTCTAACCTGGAACACATGTACATGAGCAACTCTAACCTGGAACACATCTACATGAGCAACTCTAACCTGGAACACATCTACATGAGCAACTCTAACCTGGAACACAGGTACATGAGCAACTCTAACCTGGAACACATGTACATGAGCAACTCTAACCTGGAACACATGTACATGAGCAACTCTAACCTGGAACACAGGTACAGTACATGAGCAACTCTAACCTGGAACACATGTACAGTACATGAGCAACTCTAACCTGGAACACATGTACATGAGCAACTCTAACCTGGAACACATGTACATGAGCAACTCTAACCTGGAACACAGGTACATGAGCAACTCTAACCTGGAACACATGTACATGAGCAACTCTAACCTGGAACACAGGTACAGTACATGAGCAACTCTAACCTGGAACACATGTACATGAGCAACTCTAACCTGGAACACATGTACATGAGCAACTCTAACCTGGAACACAGGTACATGAGCAACTCTAACCTGGAACACATGTACATGAGCAACTCTAACCTGGAACACAGGTACAGTACATGAGCAACTCTAACCTGGAACACATGTACAGTACATGAGCAACTCTAACCTGGAACACATGTACATGAGCAACTCTAACCTGGAACACATGTACATGAGCAACTCTAACCTGGAACACATCTACATGAGCAACTCTAACCTGGAACACATGTACATGAGCAACTCTAACCTGGAACACATGTACAGTACATGAGCAACTCTAACCTGGAACACATGTACATGAGCAACTCTAACCTGGAACACATCTACATGAGCAACTCTAACCTGGAACACATCTACATGAGCAACTCTAACCTGGAACACATGTACATGAGCAACTCTAACCTGGAACACATGTACAGTACATGAGCAACTCTAACCTGGAACACATGTACATGAGCAACTCTAACCTGGAACACATGTACATGAGCAACTCTAACCTGGAACACATCTACATGAGCAACTTTAACCTGGAACACATCTACATGAGCAACTCTAACCAGGAACACATCTACATGAGCAACTCTAACCTGGAACACATCTACATGAGCAACTCTAACCTGGAACACATCTACATGAGCAACTCTAACCTGGAACACATCTACATGAGCAACTCTAACCTGGAACACAGGTACAGTACATGAGCAACTCTAACCTGGAACACATGTACATGAGCAACTCTAACCTGGAACACATGTACATGAGCAACTCTAACCTGGAACACAGGTACAGTACATGAGCAACTCTAACCTGGAACACATCTACATGAGCAACTCTAACCTGGAACACATGTACATGAGCAACTCTAACCTGGAACACATGTACATGAGCAACTCTAACCTGGAACACATGTACAGTACATGAGCAACTCTAACCTGGAACACATGTACATGAGCAACTCTAACCTGGAACACATCTACATGAGCAACTCTAACCTGGAACACATGTACATGAGCAACTCTAACCTGGAACACATCTACATGAGCAACTCTAACCTGGAACACATCTACATGAGCAACTCTAACCTGGAACACATCTACATGAGCAACTCTAACCTGGAACACATGTACATGAGCAACTCTAACCTGGAACACATGTACATGAGCAACTCTAACCTGGAACACATGTACATGAGCAACTCTAACCTGGTACACATGTACATGAGCAACTCTAACCTGGAACACATGTACATGAGCAACTCTAACCTGGTACACATGTACATGAGCAACTCTAACCTGGTACACATGTACATGAGCAACTCTAACCTGGAACACATCTACATGAGCAACTCTAACCTGGTACACATGTACATGAGCAACTCTAACCTGGTACACAGGTACATAAGCAACTCTCTTCTTTTATTTATGGATGCATACACTGTAAAAAAATATTTTGTTTAACTTAAAACAGTAAGTTAGCTGGTTGCCTTAAAAAATTTCAACGAACTCAAAATTTTAAGTGTGCTAAAGTGTACTTCAGTATATATATTTTTAAGAGTATTATCTCTGTAATACATTTTTTTTCATTTTTTTTTCACAAGAGTAATCTACATCTAAAATGATCTGCTGATATTTAATCACCCTCAATCCAATTCCAGACCTGTATGATCTTCTTTTCCTCTAACCGGCAGCCAGTGTATCTGTGTTCCACACACACACACACACGGAAAGGGAAAGTCGTCCAGGTTTGGAACGGCGTGAGCGTGATTAAATGATGATTACACGTGTTCCTGTAATGTGATGAAGACTCACGCCATGCTGATGAAGGCCGCGTTCCCCCCGTAGAGGAAGGATCTGTTGAGCACCTGGAGGATGAAGGTGAGGTACTGTAGAGGAAGGACAGGGGTCGCGGCACACACTGAGAACAACACACACTGCAGCGCCGTCAGTGACAGGGACAAGATGGCCGCCCTCAGGTCTGCCTCTCGCTCACTCTGGCCTGTGTAACAGCGAAGGGAAGCGAAAAGGCTGTGGTTTGAGGCCGTGTTCACAACACAAGTTAAAGAGAAGTGGGTAGTCATGACAGAAATATAGTCAAACCAAACTTTCACTGAGTGTGTGGCATGGTAATGGATATGACAGTGTTAATGGTGGAATAGATCTGTTACGCTGCTGTTCATATTTTCAGGTATCAAAATGTCTCAGAAAAAAATATTTATACTGATATATTATTATAGAACAAGCAAATTGTTTCAATATCTAACTTAATTTTCTTATTATTTGTAAACTTTTATATATGTTAAACAATAGTGATTCAAACTGTATACATTCTTTTAGTTTTCTCTCATATTATTTATGGACACTCTTGCACCAGTGCTACTTTAGCATCATATTTATATATTATGTAATGGCTGGACCAATCAGACACCGAAATGATTCTTTATATTTAATGAACTATCCGGCAAACACACTCTCCTCAATAACTATGGTTATAGTTCTGTGTGTTGGAGCATCCCCCGAAACTGCGAATAACAGGCAGGAGAAGACTAGTTTAAGACCTGACAGAATGCAGAGCTTTGCTCTAAACTCATTTATAATCAGGCCATAGTAGAGACGCATAAAGCAGACTCTGCATTCATTTATAGACTAACTGTTCCATAAATGAACGTGTATCCCAGGACATTGTGTGTATGATTTTTTTTAATGTTATTATGTATAGTGTCTCTTGCATTGTATTTGTTTTATGCATGCTTTATGAGAGAACTACTAGTTAATGTAACCCCACCTATATCGTGTCTCCTATCTAATTAATGCTCATTTAACGACTCACACTTTAGTGGACATCACCTCCTCATAGTTCATTTACTAATTGGAGTATAAATGGATTCATGATTTAGTTAATACAATTTGTGCACAATACTTAATGACTTTTAACATCAATTTAGCTCAAAACTCACTTTCATACAGCAGCAAGTGTTTGAAATAACTCCCGATGTGGATTCTGATCACCATATAAGGCAGAAATACTTGCAATGCAAAAGACTATGCGCGCTAACCATTACCATAGTAAACATGGTAAATATGACCGCTTGAAGAAATCAGATAAATCATATAGGCTATCACGATCATGTTTTTATTTGATTTATTTGACTGTCTGATATCCATATTTAGCTACGCATTTGTCATAAAATAAAGCAACTCTAGTTTTACAGGAGCTTCCTCTGTTTCTCTGACTGAAAATATAAGCTCCAGTCCTCAGGTCGTATTTTTGGTGGCAATGTGGAATTGTTTATTCTTTCTAGATGTGATGTAACATACTGTCATATGTGACTACAAATAAACAGAAACAGACATGACTGAATAAGTAGGCTACATGTCCTCTTTCTTTTGTGAAATAACGGTAAACCACTTTATTTCTGTGTGACTAATGTGCAATCTTGACACAAATTAATTAATTATGATCAATGTATCACTTATTGGTTAAAACATCGATGCTTAGGTTTGAAATCTTTAGTAAACAACAAAAATGCTAGCAAAAGGTCACTTTTATCGCCCGGCTCGCACTGGCCCGACGGTGGAAACGCAGCATGTTTCGGGCTCGGTGATCCAGACCCGAGGCTATTAGCCCCGCCCGCCGTTTAAAGCCAGGCTCGCACTGGCCCGACGGTGGAAATGCAGCAGGTTTCGGGCTCGGTGATCCAGACCCGAGGCTATTAGCCCCGCCCGCCCGTTTAAAGCCCGGCTCGCACTGGCCCGACGGTGGAAACGCAGCAGGTTTTGGGCTCGGTGATCCAGACCCGAGGATATTAGCCCCGCACGCCCGTTTAAAGCCCGGCTCGCACTGGCCCGACAGTGGAAACGCAGCAGGTTTTGGGCTCGGTGATCCAGACCCGAGGATATTAGCCCCGCACGCCCGTTTAAAGCCCGGCTCGCACTGGCCCGACGGTGGAAACGCAGCATGTTTCGGGCTCGGTGATCCAGACCTGAGGCTTTTAGCCCCGCCCGCCCGTTAAAAGCCCGGCTCGCACTGGCCCGACGGTGGAAACACAGCAGGTTTTGGTCTCGGTGATCCGGACACGAGGCTATTAGCCCAGCCCGCCCGTTTAAAGCCCGGCTCGCACTGGCCCGACGGTGGAAACACAGCATGTTTCGGGCTCGGTGATACAGACTCGAGGCTATTAGCCCCGCCCGCCCGTTTAAAGCCCGGCTCGCACTGGCCCGACGGTGGAAACGCAACAGGTTTTGGGCTCGGTGATCCAGACCCGAGGCTATTAGCCCCGCCCGCCCGTTTAAAGCCCGGCTCGCACTGGCCCGACGGTGGTAACGCAGCAGGTTTTGGGCTCAGTGATACAGACTCGAGGCTATTAGCCCCGCCCGCCCGTTTAAAGCCCGGCTCGCACTGGCCCGACGGTGGTAACGCAGCAGGTTTCGGGCTCGGTGATCCAGACCCGAGGCTATTAGCCCCGCCCGCCCGTTTAAAGCCCGGCTCGCACTGGCCCGACGGTGGAAACGCAGCAGGTTTTGGGCTCGGTGATCCAGACCCGAGGCTATTAGCCCCACCCGCCCGTTTAAAGCCCTGCTCGCACTGGCCCGACGGTGGTAACGCAGCAGGTTTCGGGCTCGGTGATCCAGACCCGAGGCTATTAGCCCCGCCCGCCCGTTTAAAGCCCGGCTCGCACTGGCCCGACGGTGGAAACACAGCAGGTTTTGGTCTCGGTGATCCAGACCCGAGGCTATTAGCCCCACCCGCCCGTTTAAAGCCCTGCTCGCACTGGCCCGACGGTGGAAACACAGCAGGTTTTTGGCTCAATGATACAGACTCGAGGCTATTAGCCCCGCACGCCCGTTTAAAGCCCGGCTTGCACTGGCCCGACGGTGGTAACGCAGCAGGTTTTGGGCTCGGTGATCCAGACCCGAGGCTATTAGCCGCGCCCGCCCATTTAAAGCCCGGCTCGCACTGGCCCGACGGTGGAAACGCAGCAGGTTTTGGGCTCGGTGATCCAGACCCGAGGCTATTAGCCCCGCATGCCCGTTAAAAGCCCGGCTCGCACTGGCCCGACGGTGGAAACTCAGCAGGTTTTGGTCTCGGTGATCCGGACTCGAGGCTATTAGCCCCGCCCGCCCGTTTAAAGCCCGGCTCGCACTGGCCCGACGGTGGAAACGCAGCAGGTTTTGGTCTCGGTGATACAGACTCGAGGCTATTAGCCCCGCCCGCCCGTTTAAAGCCCGGCTCGCACTGGCCCGACGGTGAAAACACTGCATGTTTTGGGCTCGGTGATCCAGACCCGAGGCTATTAGCCCCGCCCGCCCGTTTAAAGCCCTGCTCGCACTGGCCCGACGGTGGAAGCACAGCAGGTTTTGGTCTCGGTGATACAGACTCGAGGCTATTAGCCTCGCCCGCCCGTTTAAAGCCCGGCTCGCACTGGCCCGACGGTGGAAGCACAGCAGGTTTTGGTCTCGGTGATACAGACTCGAGGCTATTAGCCCCGCCCGCCCGTTTAAAGCCCGGCTCGCACTGGCCCGACGGTGAAAACACTGCAGGTTTTGGTCTCGGTGATCCGGACTCGAGGCTATTAGCCCCACCCGCCCGTTTAAAGCCCTGCTCGCACTGGACCGACGGTGGAAACGCAGCATGTTTCGGGCTCGGTGATCCAGACCAGAGGCTATTAGCCCCGCCCGCCTGTTTAAAGCCCGGCTCGCACTGGCCCGACGGTGAAAACACTGCAGGTTTTGGTCTCGGTGATACAGACTCGAGGCTATTAGCCCCGCCCGCCTGTTTAAAGCCCGGCTCGCACTGGCCCGACGGTGAAAACACTGCAGGTTTTGGTCTCGGTGATCCGGACTCGAGGCTATTAGCCCCACCCGCCCGTTTAAAGCCCTGCTCGCACCGGCCCGACGGTGGAAACGCAGCATGTTTCGGGCTCGGTGATCCAGACCCGAGGCTATTAGCCCCGCCCGCCCGTTTAAAGCCCGGCTCGCACTGGCCCGACGGTGGAAACGCAGCAGGTTTTGGTCTCGGTGATACAGACTCGAGGCTATTAGCCCCGCCCACCCGTTTAAAGCCCGGCTCGCACTGGCCCGACGGTGAAAACACTGCATGTTTTGGGCTTTGTGATCCAGACCCGAGGCTATTAGCCCCGCCCGCCCGTTTAAAGCCCTGCTCGCACTGGCCCGACGGTGGAAGCACAGCAGGTTTTGGTCTCGGTGATACAGACTCGCCCGCCCGTTTAAAGCCCGGCTCGCACTGGCCCGACGGTGAAAACACTGCAGGTTTTGGTCTCGGTGATCCGGACTCGAGGCTATTAGCCCCACCCGCCCGTTTAAAGCCCTGCTCGCACTGGCCCGACGGTGGAAACGCAGCAGGTTTCGGGCTCGGTGATCCAGACCCGAGGCTATTAGCCCCGCCCGCCTGTTTAAAGCCCGGCTCGCACTGGCCCGACGGTGGAAACACAGCAGGTTTTGGTCTCGGTGATCCAGACCCGAGGCTATTAGCCCCACCCGCCCGTTTAAAGCCCTGCTCGCACTGGCCCGACGGTGGAAACACAGCAGGTTTTGGGCTCAGTGATACAGACTCGAGGCTATTAGCCCCGCACGCCCGTTTAAAGCCCGGCTTGCACAGGCCCGACGGTGGTAACGCAGCAGGTTTTGGGCTCGGTGATCCAGACCCGAGGCTATTAGCCGCGCCCGCCCATTTAAAGCCCGGCTCGCACTGGCCCGACGGTGGAAACGCAGCAGGTTTTGGGCTCGGTGATCCAGACCCGAGGCTATTAGCCCCGCATGCCCGTTAAAAGCCCGGCTCGCACTGGCCCGACGGTGGAAACTCAGCAGGTTTTGGTCTCGGTGATCCGGACTCGAGGCTATTAGCCCCGCCCGCCCGTTTAAAGCCCGGCTCGCACTGGCCCGACGGTGGAAACGCAGCAGGTTTTGGTCTCGGTGATACAGACTCGAGGCTATTAGCCCCGCCCGCCCGTTTAAAGCCCGGCTCGCACTGGCCCGACGGTGAAAACACTGCATGTTTTGGGCTCGGTGATCCAGACCCGAGGCTATTAGCCCCGCCCGCCCGTTTAAAGCCCTGCTCGCACTGGCCCGACGGTGGAAGCACAGCAGGTTTTGGTCTCGGTGATCCGGACTCGAGGCTATTAGCCCCGCCCGCCCGTTTAAAGCCCGGCTCGCACTGGCCCGACGGTGGAAACACAGCAGGTTTTGGTCTCGGTGATCCGGACTCGAGGCTATTAGCCCCGCCCGCCCGTTTAAAGCCCGGCTCGCACTGGCCCGACAGTGGAAACGCAGCAAGTTTTGGTCTCGGTGATACAGACTCGAGGCTATTAGCCCCGCCCGCCCGTTTAAAGCCCGGCTCGCACTGGCCCGACGGTGAAAAAACTGCATGTTTTGGGCTCGGTGATCCAGACCCGAGGCTATTAGCCCCGCCCGCCCGTTTAAAGCCCTGCTCGCACTGGCCCGACGGTGGAAACGCAGCATGTTTCGGGCCCGGTGATCCAGACCCGAGGCTATTAGCCCCGCCCGCCTGTTTAAAGCCCGGCTCGCACTGGCCCGACGGTGGAAACGCAGCAGGTTTTGGGCTCGGTGATCCAGACTCGAGGCTATTAGCCCCGCATGCCCGTTAAAAGCTCGGCTCGCACTGGCCCGATGGTGGAAACACAGCAGGTTTTGGTCTCGGTGATCCGGACTCGAGGCTATTAGCCCCGCCCGCCCGTTTAAAGCCCGGCTCGCACTGGCCCGACGGTGGAAACGCAGCAGGTTTTGGGCTCGGTGATCCGGACTCGAGGCTATTAGCCCCGCCCGCCCGTTTAAAGCCCGGCTCGCACTGGCCCGACGGTGGAAACGCAGCAGGTTTTGGGCTCGGTGATCCAGACCCGAGGCTATTAGCCCCACCCGCCCGTTTAAAGCCCGGCTCGCACTGGCCCGACGGTGGAAACACGGCTATTCTCTGCTTGCAGATTAATGTCTCCTAAACGATTGATCTTCTTGCACGCTCTTAAGCGCTGTACATGCAAACATTTCTGTGGCCATCTAAAATACCCTTTTTTTTAGAATTCATAAAGAATCAATACTGAATGTTTGCTGGACGAACTGATGAATTAATTGTAATGTTAATTTAGCTACATCATGTTAATCCGATTACCTGATCCAAATATTCATAATTAGTCATAAGTTATGATTAATTATTAATATTTCCCTGAGGTAAAAGTTAAAACTATTATAGGTTTTAGTAAAATTTTGAATGAGGTTTTATTTTTATATTTTCAGATTCAATTTGAATTCAAGTTAAAATATTATAAAATATAGTAATTTTAGGTGCTTTTGTTATTTTTATTAGTGTTTTTAATTGTTTTTTTAAGTACTATTTCAGTTTGATTTATCATTAGTTCAGTTTTAATTGTTATTTATTTCCATTTAGTCATTTTATTGCTTCAACTTGAACTACACTTAAAACTTTTGCCTTGGGAAGTTTTGCTATCTAATATTCTCATTTTATTTCAGCTTTATTTAATTTTTTTTAAATTAATAGTTTAAGATGAACTATGCCTTAAATGGGTCTTACTGACAACAGAAATAAGAAAGTTTGTTTTGAAACTTTAATTTAATAAATGGTCTTTTTGGACAAGAAAGTGTGTTTCCCTCAATGTTTTCATATGTACACTGAATACCTTTAAAAAGATGAAAGAAATGTGTGCATGTTTCTGTGTTGACCTGGTTCTCTCTGCTTTCCCTTGTGTCGGTCCATGATGAGGCCGTTCCAGGGGGCGCACAGGATCCCACACAGCTGAGTGAACGCAAACGCATTCGTATATCTACTGACTGTGAGCAACAACAAGAACACAGAGTAAAAACAGCATTCAATCTCATGATGCACACATGATGCAGCCTGAGCCTGTCTGCATGTCTATATCTATACATACTGCTCAAGGCAGGGATTCACCTGATTCAAACAAAGAGCTGGGCATGAGGATAATACAGTGTGTGTGTGCGTACCGAGGCTTGGTTCTCCTGCGGTCAGATGATTCAGCATTGGGTTTAAGGTCCCGATGAACATGTAGTGTCTCAGCTGCATCACAGAAAGCCACAGCAAATGCCACAAGAAGAACCAGGAAAGGAAACAGCTCTTGAAACTACGCTCTGACAAAAACATACATTCATAGTGTTAATACACTTCACAAGATATACCTCACAATCAAACAAACAATAATGTGTCCAGGTGAAGATCTGAATGTCACGGAGAAACTGTTTCATGCACTCTGCAGCTTATTCTAATCCAGACATGTGCACTTAGACAGGAAGTGACATGTGAAAGCAGCTTTACAGTGATAACAGGAAAATAATGCAACACAGTTTGTTTCTAGAAGAAAATAGTGTCACAGTCCAGTTTAAGTCAGTTCAGTGATGGTTCATTTCTACTGCAAACTATGGCATCCTTATGAACCGTAAGTCGGAAAATAATGAAATTTGGCACACTTGTACTAATGGTAATGAATAGTAATCTTACCAACTTTAAGGTCTCTAGGACCAACTCTATAGCGCCACCACTCATTCAATCACGGCCATTACAGTAGTGGCCATTTTGAAAAGTACAGTATTCCATTTTTCCGCTACTCAAAAATTGGCTCTGACGATCCCTGGACCGAGCAACACAGAAACGACTGAACAGAGTTTTGATATTCCTTTTTGTTCAAAGGTTATGATTATGCGAGTTAACAATGTTGACTCAAAATTAGATTAGATGCTGTATCTCGGCTGTAACTTTGATCTATCGAAACGAAACTCTGAACGCTTTACTAGCACCATGATCTGAAGGTACCTGATTTGTTTGAACACAGCGCCACCTAGTGTCTCAGAGATAAGGATTTTTGCAAAAATGCCTATTACTTGTTTACTTATTTTGTTTTCTTTGTGTCATTATGTTCCTTGCCTATGCCGATATCGACGATATCTCATTTGTATTTCCATTAATCTGCCTATACGCCATATTGAAGATGAAAAACAGTTGTTTCGCTACTCCTCCCACAAATCTTGTCCAGTTTTGTTCTAAATTGTGTGTGCCGCTCAGAAATGACTAAACATAAGTTTGATATTTACTCCTGTCCCCAAGAAATACCTTTCTAAAGTTGACCGCCCCTGCATTTGTTGTCCTATACTAAATAGCTTAGCATGCTAATTGGTTAGCATGCTATATTGTGTCAATTGTTTCTAATGTGGCCATAAGCTACATTTGTGGCTAAGTTAGCTTTGCAAGCTAACCAGTTAACATGCTAACTGACACGTTTGTGGACTCTGAAACCTCTCCTCAGCAACGAGTGTGCTCTGTGGCGTATCGTTATAAGCAACAAGCTCTGACCCTTGCAGGTCGTGGGATCGATTCCCGTGTGGCACATGCCCAGAACGCAAGAGGAACTGTGGCCAGAAATGGTGCAAAAGCTGCTTTTGTTCCAGACATTGTTTCTTTCTGAGAATGATCTCATCTGAACATGTGGTGCATTTATAGACAAAATCTTAAGAGTTTTATATTATAATGTACTAATGACCACCATGATAATACAGATGATAAAACGGAAAAGCACATTTTGAATCAACATTAGTGGCCTGAGTTCATAATATATAATCATAAAATATAATCATTCAAATGTGATGTGTCACATAGGGACTTCTAGGAGTGTCTTTTTACTATTTTCATCATAAATCATACGGTATTAGCAGGTTTGGCCTGTAAAAACTGTTTTCTGTAACAATTACAGACATTTTTCCAGTGTAGTTATGTTACATTGTAGTTACATTGTAGTTGCTGCACAGGCGTATAGCACAAATAGCACATGTAACGTGTGTGTTTAGTGTTGAACTCTTGCCTACCCGTCGTGTCTGTGTCAGAAGTCTCTTTGAATGGCATTTCCTCCTCAGACTTAGAAGTCTGGATGTTCTTCTCTCCAGTCTTTGCAATGGCATAATCCTGAGTTACTCCGCAGTTCACCCTATTGGTGTAAATAAGAGACAGTCACAGGCAAAGCATTGTTGGAGGAGAGATATACGGTGCAGACAGTGAAGAGCATAAAGTAATCTGAGCGTGTAGTTTACCCGTAGCTGTAGTTCTCCGGCAGCGGGTACGGGATATGTGTTCGAGGCATCAGCACAACGGTGCGGAACAGATGAAGAACACTACAGCAGGACAAGAAGAGAAAAGACCAGCGCAGAGACACGCCATCCTCAAACAGCAACTGAAAGAGAACAGAGATCGGACCATCACGATTCAAGGCCTTTCTGATCCATTATCAGTCTTCTCATCTCAGCATCATCATCTGATGTGAGGTTTCATTTGCCTCTTACTTTGACGATGAGGAAAACTGCAGAGGAGGAGTCGAAGGCTCCATTATACAGAGTGATTATAGTGGAGCGGTGAGCGCCGAAGAGATTCGCCACCTAGAGACAGATGAGGACATTTCTGTTGAGGACATTATATGTGGGCTCATATTAAAGGATAAAGGAAAACGTGAAAAAACAGTTAATTTTCAGTAATATTCTTGATTTGACAGTACTGGATGAGAACCTGAATGGGGATCACATCACTGTTTTCTGCAGAGCCGCTTCAGCTGATCCCACTGTTTCATAATTGACACATTTTGCAACATCAACGCTGTCATTGAACAAATCTGAATCAATTTTTTTAACTGAATTGAGTTGAATAATGACACTAGCTGCTCATAGCTGAACTGAACTCATAATTGATGAACTTTACAGTTATTTAACTGAACTGAATTGATCTGAATAATGACAGAATATGAATTTGTCTCAAAAGTCTCAAAACCGTGAAGCTGCTTTGAAACATTATGTCCTGTATAACTGACTTGACTATTTCTTGCTCTTGAAATAAAAGAGATGGATGTGATCTAATAACACCAAACTCCTTCCCCAATCCACTCAGACCAGCTTTTCAAAGAGGATGTTCAGTATTGAACAAACCAGCGCCCTCCCAGTCTGATGTCTGGGGTCGTAACACAAAAAGATCATGAAGGTTAAACCAAAAGCACCCTCATATTCCGATATTAAAGGGGAGGATCAGGATTTTGGACATCGGACCTCATTTCCACGTTAGCCTAATATTCCACACCAGAAAGGTTTGAAGCCGGGTGTGTTGTGGGATCTTCAGTACCTGTATGTTGGTCATCAGGAACAGGATTCCTCCCACAGCGATGAAGGACAGAGCGGGGAAGAGGAGGACGGAGCTCACTGCAGGAGGGAACAGCACTCATGATACACACACACTCAACCAGCAATGCACTGAAGGTCAAAGAAAGATAAAAACTTTACCAGGAGTGGAGAAGGCTATTAACAACATCCCTGCAGTGTAAACCGATCTGTAAAGTAAATCATAACACAGTGAGAACATGAGAGACGTGAACCTGCCCTGTCTGTGGAACATGTGGATTGTGTTATAACTTATTACAGACTGAGATTTAAGAGCTGAGATAGAACGTGGTTACACAAATATTTGGACACTTAAGCTTCTCATATAAAAGGATTACTGCTGTTTGAAAGCTTGGGGTCAATATTGTTTTTAAAGACACTAATACTTTTATTAGCAAGGAGGCATTAAATTGATCAAAAGTGAACTTTAACTTTTAATTTTAAATAAATGCTGTTCCATTTATCAAAGAATCCTGAACAAACACAGTTTCCACAACAATCTGAAGCAGCAACTGTTTTCAACACTGATAATAATCATAAATGTTTCTTGAGCATCAGATCCTCATATTAGAGTGATTTCTGAAGGATCATGTGACACTGAAGACTGGAGTAATGATGCTGAAACTCAGCTTTGATCACAGGAATAAATTACACTTTACTGTATATTCACATAGGAAACAGATATTCCAAGCACTTTAAAGATATGCTTAAACTATGCTTAAGTTTAGTTAAACATTAATCAAACCTACTACTAGAATTATTAACCTGTGGATTTCTCAGGGTAAATTTCTAAGAATCTGGAAGTTAGCTATTTTTGTTCCAATATTGAACATATTCCCCCTTTGACCTGTGATTACAGGCCTATCAGTGTCTTACTCACAGTATATAAGGTTGTTGAGGAATAAGTGGCTGAGCAAATTATCTGTCACATGAATAATAGTTTGGCTTTAGAGCAAATTATTTAATGGAAACTGCTAATAGTTTTTTTATAGAAAATATTAAGTCTCTATTATATAAAGGTGGTGTAGTCGGAGCTGTGTTTCTTGATCGTAAGAAAGCTTTTGATACTGTTAATCATCAAATCCTTATACCTAAGTTATCTAGTTTGAATTTTTCTTTACATACACATAACTGGATAGAATCATACTTGTCAGATCGATCTCGCTGTGTTCGAGTACAGAAACACCGATCAGCTGATTATTGTACATCCACTGGAGTTCCACAGGGATCTATCCTGGGTCCGATGTAAAAGTGGTGCGAGTGGTAGAAGGAGGAGGAGGAGAGCGCTAGGGAGGTGAGGAAGAAGACGAGGAAGACGAGGAAAGGGAAGGCTAAAGAGACAAGCAGTCTCGGATGAAATTGGTGCCGCTCTAGTTGACCATGTGCTTGTCCATGGTGCGAGTATGAGGGGGGGTGGGCAACGAGTTCTGCCAAACTTGAGTCGCTTCCCCGTCGCCTCCATCATAAGAACCTTCAGGAAACAGGTAGGTCCACTTTAGACTGCTCTCTACCGTAACTTTAGAGTACTGTACAACACACACATGTACTGGAGCTGTTGCACTATACTACTGTACTAAAAAGAAATGCATCAAATTGCCTTGCAGACAGATAAGAGCTTCTGAATACTTCCATTGTGTTACGGTCATAGTAATCAGTGCTTCTGTTTTTGTAGGTCACCGAGATGATGGAATGGAAGAAGCCTAGACACTTCAGTAGATGAGTGTCAGGGGTGGACCAGAGGATCCCCCCCCCAGCCCGCCCCCGCCCCCTGTAGTATTGATTTAAATTGATCTCACCAGTGTGTGTGTTTTTGAGGGCTTGTGTGTTATGTGTGTGTCTGAGGGCAAAGTTTGGTTTTTCAGCAAGATTGAATGCTTTTGAGTGGAGAGATTAATTTTGACATCACTAACCCTAGAATTTACATCCACACAAGGTCTCTCGCTCTCTTTCCCTCTCTGCCTCGCTCTAGATTCCGGGAGATTTTAACTCATTTGCGGCATAACTAGTCGATCACGAGTGGCTGAACAGGTAGATATATAGATAAACTCATCTTCTAGGCATTTGACCGACCTGGAGTGTGTTTCCCGAAAGCATCGTTATCCAACTATGAACGCAATTTCCATTAAACTCTATTGGTAACGATGGAACTTGCGACCATAGTTGGCTTTGGGAAACGCACCTCAGGTTGACACTTCAGCGTGAGAAATCGGGGGTGTGGCGTGTGAGTGTGTGAAACCAATTAAATACGTGTGTCTCACGGCCAATGTGTGAGAGTTGGCAGCTCTGTGTGTGTGTGAGGTAATCAGAGCTGCTAACACACACACGCATACACACAAAAGCTCTTGAAGCTCCGCCCTCTGTGCCGGGAGCAGCAGCTCATTTGCATTTAAAGGGACACACACAAAACTACGTGTTTTTACTGACCCTCAAAAAGTGACAATTTTAACATGCTATATAACATACAGTATCTGTGGGTTATTTTGAGCTAAAACTTCACTTACACACTCTGGGGACAACAGAGACTTATTTTACATCTTGTGAAAAGGGCATTATTGGACCCTTTTAAGTATTCGAGAAAAACTATTGTGTATATTTAATCATATATTCTGTTTTAGGGCGACTTGTGACATTCTTTTCAGGGACTACAGATAACCGAAAACTGTCCCTGTTAAAAATAAACCCCAAAAAAACCCAATAAACTTGTTTTGATTCAAAATGTGCTTGAGCTATCTTAAATTCCACTTTGTTTTTATATTCTGTTTTCTAACGCAATAGCTTGGGCTCGTGTCCACATTCATTCATCAGTTCTGTCATCTCAATGCACCACAGATCCCAGTGTCCTGCCAAATCCCTCTCCTCCCTTCATCCCTCTATCACTCCACTCCTCCCTTAATCCCTCTATCACTCCTCTTTTTCTCACAGTTTTCTATGCACTTCTCTCCTAACTGCCTATGAGGCCTAAACAAGCAGTTGACATCCGTCAAACATTTACTACAATCAAAATACAGCAATTATGTCATAGTGTTTATATATATAAACACTAAACAGTCGTGAGAAAGAGAGGATAGAGCAACATGTCCCTTGCAAAAAAATGATATGGTGATATGATGGCATTCCGTAGTATTAAATTTACCCTGGTGTGTACAAAATAACACTAGGATATTTCACAGAATACCACGTTATTACCCCAGCAAGCAATAGCCGTCATTTCACCGTGTGTGTTAACTATAGACCCGTTATAGTCCGGCTATGAGTAACACACTTCTGGACAAAATAACCTTGAATTTGGTTACATGTCGGTTTGGCCAAAATAACTTGGTCAGAACATTTTGCTAACATTCCCATTAGGTTAGGAAAACGTTATTTCTGAATGTTTTCAAAACATTGAAAACGTCCAGTTTTTTAATATATTAAGAATGTTTTTTTCTTGGTTAATGTGAACGTTAAAGGAACATTCCATTCACTCATTTTGAAAATGTTATTAAACGTTATTTTCAGAATGTTTTCTGAGCGATCAGAACCCTCTGAAGCTATGGCCGTCCATCACAGGCTCACACACAGACACTCGAGTGTTGCTCTTTACCTGGGTTTGAGCTGTGCTGGAAACTGTTGTACCTGGAGGAAATCCTGCTAACTCCTGGCTCATGTTTTGAATGTTAAAAAACATTCAGAAATAACATTTTCATAACATTTCCAAAATTATAGAATGGAATGTTCCTCTAACGTTCACATAAACCAAGAAAAAAATGAGCTTAATACTTAAAAAAGAAAACCAAACGCTCAGAAACATTCAGAAATAAAGTTTAATGTTTATTACATCACAAGGACGTTCCATGAACGCTGTTATAAGAACGTGTTCACTCAACATTACGAGAATGTATTTTAACTCTATGAACATTATAAGAACGTTCCAGAAACATTATTTCAGGAAAGTTACTAACTTTTACATAACGTTAGTGAAAGCTAGGAAGGTGTTTGGTTTCATTTATTCACTCATTTCATTTCTTTGTTGTCTAGTTGATGACTAGTCTATTCTTGGGCTCTGGTTTATCCCTCTATTACATTTTCACAGACAGCCCAAGCTCAGCCTTGTTTTAGCCTAGACGTCTGGACTGTGTTTGGACGGCTATTAGATATGGTGTGCAGGAACACCACACACACACACACACACACGTAATCCCGACTCACATTCCCAGGAGCCTGGCGACGGTGGTCCCGAAGTGGTCGAACAGGAATCCGTTCGGGAGCGTGAGGAAGTTATTCATGAAGGATGCAATGGTGAACACGAGGGAGAACTGCTCATCTTGACCTCTGCAATCTAACACACACAGATCCAGTGTGTTCAACACAAACATACATCAGGCACACGTGTGTGTGTGTGTGTGTGTGTGTGTGTTTACTGACCTTCAGCTGCAGTGCCGTTGACGGTGGCGTTCACACACAGACTGCTGAAGTATCCTTCGCTCTTGAGCACGAACACCAGCGTGGCCCATCCGAACACGGCCCCTGCGAAGCCCAGACACTCCAGTAACCCTGAGACCAGCGTGAGCCAGGAGCGAAGCCTCAGCCCGTCCCGGCAGCCCGACATCTCCAGCTGTGCTCTTCACACTGTCCTGGGGGATATACAGCGTCCTTCAGGAGACACACACACCAGTCCGGCCAGAAAACACACAAATGTTCCATGAGCAACAACAGGAGACATGAATGCACTGTGTTTACAGTGTCTTCAACTCACCCCCCACACACACACACACACACACTTCTCCCTCTCTGATCTCTCTCTCTCACTGGAGCTTTATATGGTCCTCTGAGATCTTTCCCTCCCATTTCCACTAATCCCTCCTTCTTTCCTTCTAGGAGCCTCTTAGTGGAAGAAAACTGGTGTTTGTGGGCATTCAATAACATGTTGACTTCTGCATCCAGCATTTCTGATGTCAAGTCAAGTCACCATTATTTATAAAGCGCTTTTTACAGCACAGAGTGTTTCAAAGCAGCTTTACAGAGATAACAGGAAAATAATGCAACAAAGTTTGTTTCTAGAAGAGAATAGCGTCACAGTCCAGCTTCAGTAAGTGCAGTGATGGTTCATTTCTGTTGAAAACAGTTATTAATGTAGTTAATTGAGATGAGATCCCTAATACATGTTCAACCAGTATTGTAAACAAATATAATTCTGAACCATGTTTTGTGGGATCTGTGTGTCTGACCCGTTACAGCTGAACTGAAGTGAATGAACGACTGGAATATCTGTGTTTCTCTCTCTGACTCCTCAAACCTACATTCTCTGGTCATTCTCATTCAACACAATAGACTGACACTGCAATACCTTTACAGCCTAAAATAAATCAAAGCAGAAGTTAAACGTGTGATAGGCACAAGACGCAGTATTTCTGATCTTCCTGTACGGTGTGTGTGGCATTCAGTGAGGCAACAGCGTTCAGAATAAAACAACTCTTAATTGCACTTTCACAGTCCGGATCACAAGACCAGCCAAGATTTCCTCTTCAGTGTGTGTGACCGTCTACGTCAACGTCCTCAGGAACATGAGCCCACACACGACAACACACAGGTCTACGCATCTACTTCTGATCTCAAATATAGGCTTTGTATTGATGCTTTCAAATGGTTTGAAAAATGTGGATACCGACTGCAATAAAAGTTTAGATTTAATCACTGAAAAATATCATGTAGTGTAACCATCAAATATAAACTATATATATATATATATATATATACACTGCCGTTCAAAAGTTTGGGATTGGTAAGATTTTTAATGTTTTTTAAAGAAGTCTCTTCTGCTCACCAAGGCTGTATTTATTTGATTAAAAATACAAAACAAACAGTAATATTGTTAAATATTTTTTTAAATAAATGTTTTCTATGTGAATATATAGTAAAGTGTAATTTATTCCTGTGATCAAAGCTGAATGTTCAGCATCTTTACTCCAGTCTTCAGTGTCACATGATCCTTCACAAATCACTCTAATATGATGATCTGATGCTCAAGAAACATTTATGATTATTACCAGTTGTGGCAAGGGGGCGTGGTTCAGCGAGGTCTGTGACAGGAGGGAGGATCGGGAGCCGCCGGTCGAGCTCCCCCACCTGCCACTGAATAAAATGGGTTCACAGGACAATCCGGAGGTGTTCCTGGACCTTTTTGAGAAGTCAGCGGAGGCAGGTGGGTGGCCAAGAGAGCAATGGCCGGTGCGACTCATCCCACTGCTGTCCGGGGAGGCCGGCCCAAATACTGCCTGTCCAGAACCTCCTGGTCTTCGACAACCTCAAAAGAGCCATTCTACAGCGGGTCGGCCGGCCCTTCTGATGGCTCACCAGCTCCGGGACTCCTGCCGGAAGTGGCTGCTGGCTGAGGTAAGCGACGTCGGGAAGATCCTCGACCGCGTGGTACTGGAGCAGTTCATCGCCCGTCTGCCCAGGAAGGCGGCGGAGTGGTTGCAGTGCCACCGACCGACGTCGCTGGACTTAACCATTCAACTGGCGGAGGACCAGCTGGTGGCTTGCTCAAGGGTCGGCGAAACTTTGCCAACAATCTCTCTCCTCCTCCTTTTCTTCTTCTTCCCCCTCTCCTACCTCTACCGGGGGCGGGTTGGCACAGCACTGGACCTGTCAGGTGGCCCGAGACCCCAGCCCAGGGGCACAGGGTTCGCCACCGCTGGGGCTGACACGACTCCTCTTCCTCCGCTCTCCCCACGCCAATCACTTATCCCACTTTCTGCCACTAGGGCGGTGGGGAGGCCTGGGCTGGCCTGCTGGCATTGCGGGGACCCGGAGCATTTTATAGACATGTCCGATGATGGATGTGGGGACAATGATCCGGGTTCCGGATGTCCCGCAGGCTGCCCACGATCAGGCTGGCCAGTATAAAGGCTCTGGCGGATTCAGGATGCAACCAAACCTCGATCCACCAAAGCCTGATTCAACCTGAGGCATTGGATATGAGCCGCGTGGTTCGGGTAAGGTGTGTACACGGGGATGTGATGAAGTATCCGCTCATGTCGGCTATGATTCAATTTAAGGGTCAAAAACATAGCGTAGAGGTGGCAGTTAACCAGGACCTCCGACATTCGCTGATTCTGGGAACCAATTGGCCTGCTTTTACTGAGTTATTGGGGTTATTATGTGCGGATGTCTCTTGTGAAAAGGAAAAGCAGGAAAGAGGGGCGGCCGTGCAGGTGGGAGAGGCTGAACCGGGATCCCCGGGACTGGAACCAGAGGAACAGAGCGCAATCGAGAGACAGATTCTCTCAGAGCGTGATGATTTTCCCCTGGAACAGTCTCATGATGAGTCACTAAAACATGCTTTTGAACAGGTCCGTGCCATCGATGGCCAACCTCTCCAACCCGCTCGTCCGCTCACCTATCCATATTTTGCAATTCTTAAAGACAGGTTTTATAGAGTGATACACAGGGGTTAAATTGTGATTTATTATGTGGGGGGGCTCTCTTTCTAAGTGGGTCCGGGGGTATATGCTGGCGACGGTGATTAGGGCGGAAGAGGATCTCGGGCCTGAGGCGAATATTAAAATTCCATCTCTCACGCTGGCTCAGGGAGGATAACCAGAAAAATAACAATAGTTAAAAATGGTTACAGTTTTGGTTTGCCTTTAGCCACAACTTAATCCTGGAAGTGAACTTTTTCAAGTCAGAAATGACTTTAATGTCAGATGGTAACGAGAGTCTAGAGCTCTTAACAGAAAAGGCTGTCTGTGCGAAGCTTGTCCTACAGTATGGTATTGTACAGTTATGATTTGTGCTGCTTCTGGTAACTCTTTTTCTGTTCTGTATTTGAATAAATAAGTGGCTCGGGTGCTAAATTATTAATACACTTGAAAATTAATTTTAAAAAAACATAAATTACTGAAGCTTTCAAAGCTTAATATATTATATTTCTCGAGGATGTAACAGTGATGGTAACGGATTGGCTTTTTATCCATAATTTTTATTGTTTGATTGTAAAGTGAACCAATGTGTGTTATTGCAGACGGAGCTGCTTGCGCCCAAACCGTCATGCAGTGTGAAATATGCGAACAAACCATAGCATGTACAGTAGGACTGCCTGGTTTGGTATGTAATTTCTGATCAGTTTAAAACAGTTAAGATTACTTTGTATTGTTTTAGAGATTTTCTTTATATGTTTAGCAAATTTAAGTTGAGGATCTATGACCAATCCAAGATATTTAAATTCTGTAACAGATTGAATTATTCCATTTTGTAAATCAATTTACATATTTATTTTTAGGATTCTTTGATGAATAGAAAGTTCAAAAGAAAAGCATGTATTTGAAATAGAAAGCTTTTGTAACATTAAACACTACCATTCAAAAGTTTGGAGTAGTTTGATTTTTTTTTTGTGGAAAGAAATGAAAGAAATTAATACTTTTATTCAGCAGTGATGTATCAAATAGGCGAAAGTGACGGTAAAGACATTTATAATGTTACAAAATATTTTATTTTAAATAAATGCTCTTCTTTTTAACTTTCTATTCATCAAAGAATAAAAAAATATACACAACTGTTTTCAACACTGATAATAATAAAAATGTTTCTTGAGCATCAGATCCTCATATTAGAGTGATTTCTGAAGGATCATGTGACACTGAAGACTGGAGTAATGATGCTGAACATCAGCTTTGATCACAGGATATAAATTACACTTTACTGTATATTCACATAAAAAAAACAGATATTTTAAATTGTAATAATATTTTATGATTTTACTGTTTGTTTTGTATTTTTAATCAAATAAACACAGCAGAAGAGACTTCTGTTAAAAACATAAAAAATATAACCAATCCCAAACTTTTGAAAGTTTTTTTTATAGTTTTAGTTACCAATAACAGCACTGCAAGGACATTTATTAAGGAAGTAAATATTGTCATTTTTTATTTAATTTAGTCTTTAAAGTGATTACTCACAATTTCAGTTTGATGAATTATTAATCTTAATCTATAATATGAATATTACTCTTGAAAACCATCCAAAACAATAGCAAAAAAGAGTGAATAGTATTAAATATCGGTAGCTAGCAACTCCCTACTGTGTGCAGGATTATTAGGCAAGTGAGTATTTTGACAATATCATCATTTTTTTTCATATTTTCCAACTCCAAGCTGTATAAACTTGAATGCATATTGGATTTAAGCATGAGGTGATGTGTATTTGTGTAACTCCCTATGTGTGGCCTAAAGAGATCTACTCCCCATCATTATTAGACTAATAACGGAATAATCCCGTGACCTGAACCCATCGAGGACAAGAGGAACCGGAGATTACGGCTGAGGAACACCGGCTGTTATTGAAGAGAAGGGAGGATATGAGCACTGAAATTGTTGCATAATAATTCTGCACACTAACAGTTGCCCAATAATTGTATATATATATTCTCCTAAGAAAGCCAAAACATCACTTTTACTTCCTTAAATATTCAGGTTTGAGGTTTATTAGCATGTTTGGATTGACCGAAAGCACTGCAGTTGTTCAATAATAAAATGAATCCTCAAAAATACAATTTCGCTCACGATGTATATATATATATATATGCTCCAGACAGCTTTATCAGAATTTTTTTTAAACATCATAAATTCATAATTAATAAATGTCATTACATTTTGAGTCGTCACAGCACATGACACTATTTTGAGTGTCTTGAACCT